GATGTTAGAAGATTCAGTAACAAAGGATGCAGCTGATGAAGTGTTTATGCTGACGCATCAAATAGAAGAATTAATCGAGTCTCTGTCAGCGAGAAATGATACACTTCCACCTTCCTGTTCTTCTTTACAGGGATTATCTTTGTCATCCATGCTGAGGTAGCATATATGGAAATAGACTAATTTCATTTGGATCTCCAAAGTATGGGAAAGAAACCCTCCTCTACCAAGAGTGACAGATTCCGTCTTGTTTGATCTCAACTTAATACATAGAGCGGGATGGAAACATATTAAAATGGCCATGGTGTATACAGCGGGAGACAAGTAATAGTGATTTTGTTACTGCCGCCGTATAGGCCAAATCAATTTTGAATAGTTTTGGAACCGTAGCATGTAACATAGATATTGGAGTTTCTATCAGATTGTCCTCTGTTTTGAACTTATTCAGGGAAGTAGAAGATTGTTACTGAAAGCAACAGAGCTCTTCCTTCCTTTCCTTACAAGTACTCGAATCATTGACTAATACCCATTTCTTCTTTATTGAAGTTGGGAAGTTTTTTTAACAGCTGAAAGAAAACTTTTGCCATTAATGTTAATATGACCATACTCATTTATTTTACTACATAGATTCCCAAGAAGGGCAAGGCAACCCTGTGGCAAACTAAAGAGTGGTGAAACTAAGCCCCAAAATCTAGCATCGGTGTTTTGGTAATAGGATCAGAGACAATCTTTATCCAAAGCAGATTAGTTTAATACAAAATGGTTTTCTTAGCAGATAAGCGGTTGCTTGTTCTTTTGGTGCTGTTTCTTCTATTATTCCTCACGGGTTTCCTTTGTTGCTTCCCTGTTTTCTGCCTCTTTGCTGCTTGAGCTGCATTCTTCTTTTCAGCCTCATCCTCAAATTCATCACCTTCCAATTTTTTCCTCTTCAAAAGCTTCACAAGTCCTTCGAGTGCAACATCAACATCTTCACTCTTCATCAATTCTTCTGCGACGTGTGCCGGAGTCACATCTGTTTCCTTCATCAAGTCTTCGATTTCTCCGAAGAGGTGGTGGTGGTTATGGATGCCCAAGTAGTTTGAGGCCAAGAGTTTGAAGCCATGGTAAGTGCAGTAGGACATGTGGATATGCATGTCCATGCGCCCCGGGCGCAGAAGAGCCGGGTCTAGCCTCTCCTTGTGGTTAGTGGTGAAGATAATTATCCTCTCATCTCCACAGCTAGACCATAAGCCATCTATGAAGTTTAGCAGTCCCGACAGTGTTAACTGCAGGAAGCCAAAGACATAATAGTCAAACTCTAGTACAATGAGGTGTCTCAATCTGAAGTTTCTTTTTAAATGCTTAGTAGCAAGAAACACTCTTCAGAGGGAAGTAGCAACAAAGAAACTCCCTATGACCAAGTGGGTTCTGCCCCCTTTGAGCTAAAAAACAAACACAAAAAGAGCAGAGCAAAGAGAGAGTGAGGTGGGGTTGGCTGATTGTGAATGTGAAAGTATGCCTTTTAGGCTGTGAGGTTGAATTGCCTAGTGCTGAGCTAGTGGGTTCTGGGGTAATTAGATGCTAAAATAACCAATCAGATGCTAATATAAACCTAAATTAAGATTCACCAAATCACAAGATCAGTTCAAAGCATTATACACTCCGGCCCACAAATTTTTTCACCCTGCACTTTTAAACCATGGCACTTCACTTGGTTACTGAAAAGAAAGAAAATGGGGCAACCCAACAATATAAGAAAAGCCAAAAAAAGGAAAAAAAAACATGACAAAAATTGTGCTGATCATTATTTTATGCAAACAAAATAGAAAATCTAAAGCAGACAAATTAGTAAAAAATTCCCAGTTTTGCAGATAGTTTCTTGACAATTAATTATCTATCAAATGTAGGTGCAGCAGCCAAATTATGACCTTTTGGAAATCACTATAGTTGATAATCCTGGTACCTAATTGGTAGACTCCAAAAACGCTTGAAATTGACTGAAGTTAAACAGAGCATGATAACAAACCTGGACATCAGGTTGCTTTCTTCCATCTCCATGTCGACGATCAGGCAGCTCAACACTACAATCAATGTCTTCAATCACAAGAATCGACCGGTTCGCGGTGCCCAGCAGCAATTTTCTCAGGTCCGAGTCACGAAATATGTTGGCAAGCTGCAAGTCATAGACATCAAACTTGAGATAATTAGCCATGGCTGCAACCAAGCTTGATTTGCCAGTGCCTGGAGGGCCATACAACAAGTACCCTCTTTTCCAAGCCCTTCCCACTTTCTTGTAAAACTCCTTCCTCTTCACAAATCTGTTAAGATCCTCAATAACTGCATTCTTGAGGTCTTGGTCCATGGCCACCGTCTCAAAAGTTGCAGGGTGTTCGAGATTGATGGACTCCCATTTGACGCCATTGTAAGGGTGGCAGGAATTTAGTGTGTACATCTTCAAAACCCTCTCTTCATCTTTCATGGCGTTGGCTCTTTCAAGAACATAAGGCACATAACAATCCAAAACTCTGTCTTTGTGCTTCTTGTGGAATGTTAGCTCAAAGAACCGCTTCTCGGACCTCGGAGGAGAAAATGGATCATTGGGGTCTTTCTGTTGTGACTCTGCACAAATAAACCTCCACTTGAGCTCAATCCCTTCATAGAAATCAACCAGCTTCTCGCCTTTCTCGAGTCGAATTGTCAAGCTCTTCCCCTTTGGGCTTTTGCTAACTCTGATCCTCTCCGTGTTGGAACTGATTTTTGTGCACAAGTATATCTCTGCAGCTTCATAGACTTGGTTGCGAGATATGCCGTTTGATTCCTCTATGACTAAGGTTAGCTTAGGGGAGTGAGTTTTGAAAAGGTAGCGGAGGCTAGAGACTAGGTAGCCCCTAACTGGGTGTGGTATGAGCTCATTGGCCATGGACCTAAAGAGCATCATTGAGGCTGCCATGGAGGCATAGGCAGAGAACAGTGATGATGGAGAAGGCATTTCTTTGTTCGAAAACATGTTCATGATTGGAAGCTTTGGATTCTGAAAAAAGAGATTGTTGTTTGTCCAAAAAATATTTCTAGTTTTGAGCAGAGTGGTGAATGATTATATAACCAGGCTCTCTCTTTGTTTGGACTTATAGGGCAGTGATGAATGAAGTGTACATGTAAAGTGTCTGCGTGGGCTTGAGTGGAATCCTACTACAATACTTCCAAAAGAGAGCGAGAATGAGAGACCCCATTGCTTTCTTTCCCCTTCATTTCTCTTTTATTTTTGCTCGTCCTTTTTTCTCTTTATTTTCTGTTTTTATCACTAATTCAATTATTATAACTGGATGACCAAAAAAGCTAAATTCTGAAAAGCTTCGGGTGCAAGCAACGAGGCTGCATATGCTCCTAAAAAGACAATAATTCGTACATATAACAAGTGTATATAGTGCTCAACTCACGATAACTAGTCGCGTAATCAACACGCCCTAGGTAAAAACCATTGAACTCAACTACCCTTGTTTTTTAAAAGCAAAAAGAAAGAAACAGGTCTGCCAAGATGTGCCCCTACTTGAGCTCAAAATCAGCAGCAGCATGGTCCCAACCATTTCATGGAAGAGGCACATGGGTTTATGAGGGTGAAGTGCCTTCAATTTTTCAGGGTTATGTATTGCATTGTATGTACTAGAATTCTGAGTTACAGGCCAACAGCCAACCTAATTTGGTAGAAAGAATATTTGAGGATGTCATGCATATCTTTTAAACAGCCAGGAAACACTAATTTAATACCTAAAAAGGGCTCTGTAAAATTGTCACATGAAAACCACGCCTTACATATCAGAATAGGAATTGGTTCTTGCCACGCTAAAATCTCAATCTACACACAAGTGAGAACAGCTAGATTCTATAGGTTTAAGTTTTATTGCTTTTTTCTTCTTTTTTTTTTGGTTTTTGCTAAACTTTTTTTAGCCTTATCTTTTTATTTTTCTTTTTGAGTGTAAGCGATAGTCTAAACTATAGAGGAGGGGAATTTCTCACACACACACAACTATGACGTCGTGGAACTTTAAACCTTTTAGCTTTATCTTTATTAGCTTGAAATTGTCTCTTTTAGTGTCTTAATCCACGAAACCATAAACCGACTGTAAAAAACTATGATTATAATATTGCTTGAAACTTGACCCATGGGGCATGACTTTGCTAGCTTTCGGCGTGGAAGAGGAAAGTTGCCAGCAAAGTTGCAAGTCAGTCAAGCACATTCTTTGTCAGTCATATAATTGGTCACTTGTATTCCTGATTCTTCTGCATTTTTTTTCTTAACTTACCAATTTAAAACTGAAACTTTAAAGGGAAAAGCATTTTAACCCTGACATATTTCACAGCTCAAAGCCTCCCCAAGTCGCCTTTGTAAGTCTTGCCAAAAGCAAAAAATGATAAAGAAGACATAAAGTTTCTGAGAAAGGCCTTGGCAAGCAAGCCAAGCCACAGCCGCTGCTGCATATGCATTAAATCTATATGAATCAATATTATATTTTGCTTCTTACAATCCTTATCAATCCATCTCATCCAAATACTGACTGACCCTACTTTTTTACTTGGCATAATCTACACCGATGAAAGCAAAGCAAAGCAGATTTCAAGATGAAGATGGGCCACTTCAAATCAAATTCAATGAAACAGAGCCAAAAAAAGCAGATTCTATTTCAACTTGCCACTACAAAATGCTTAAAGATTATGGGGAAATTTCAGAAGGAAAGTTTTCTTCCTAGGCTTAAAAGTCTCACATCTTAGGACCTACAATTCATCTACTAATCCAAGCATAAACGCAAAAATGTATTGGGATGTCAACTTTTGCTGATCCAAAGCAGAAATTCAGATGGGTATTTTTATAACATTTTTATAGTTATAAACCCAACAAAGTTTATGGTCATAAATAAAGACAGCTCACATTAGAAATATATATATATATATATATATATGGGTATGGCCCCCCTAACAAAACAATCACAAGCAAAGTAAAATCCTCATGGGACACGGAAATCAATGTGATGGAAATTGATGCTTCCAAAGGGACACCAATTCTAATTACCACTTAATTAGTTATTGTCATAATTAATCATCTACTTTTCCTCACTACTTTTTTCATCGTTATCATCTTTCTTGTCCTTAATCTCAGCCTCAGCCTCAGCTTCTTTAGCTTCTACTTCTGCTTGCTTCCTTTTAGCCTCCTCATCAGCTTCCTCATTCTCCTTCTTCTTCACTTTCAGAAACTCAATCAGGCCTTGCAGTGCAATGCCAGGCTCGTCACTCTTGATCAGTTGCTCAGCTACTTCTGCAGGGGTCACTTTAGTCGTGTCAATCTGTTCCTCAATCTCCCCAAACAACAGGTGGTCTTTAATTCCAAGGTAATTGGCTGCCAGAAGCCTAAAGCCAGATGGGCTGCAATAGGACATGTGGACATGAACATCCATGCGACCAGGGCGCAACAGTGCAGGGTCAAGCTTCTCCTTGTGGTTGGTTGTGAACACTATAATTCTCTCATCTCCACAGCTTGACCACAGCCCATCAATGAAATTGAGCAAACCTGATAGTGTCACCTGTGGCGTGGCACAACAAATTTATTAGGACCACAAAGCATAAAACTAGACGACAATTAATTCAACTGATTACGTTTAATATCATCATAAATTTTGCAACCACGGAAAGATTTGGACCAGTCTCAATCAACGTGGAAAATTACAACACGAATAGTACTTAACGTGGCAGAAACTCATTGGCTTTTTATGCATCAAAAGGAACTTTCCCTGAAGCTGCCTGGAAGTCCTTGTCTTGGATCTGCATATATTTGTCTATTATAATTATTGCAATCAGACCTAATTTTCTACAGTATGGCATGTGCTATGTCTTTGGCATGTCTTCATGCTATTCCAAATAGGACAATGGCATTGAACTTGGTCCGGTGTTACATGGGAAAACACCATCATTTTTATTTTTGTTTTTCACTGTTTCTTATTTTGTTTTTAACGGAAGCGATCGAACCCTTTATCTATCATAATTCGAACATTTAGGCTTACCCAAAGATTTTTTTGTTGTTTTTGTTTTGGATGTGAAGGAAAACACATATGAAAATAATAATTATTCTTATGGAAGTTTAGCATTTGTTTCTCTCTCTCTCTCTCTATAGCCTTTCAAGTTCAGCAAAGACATTCTTCCACACTTAAACAAAAGACACATGAAACAACACATAAAGAAAGAAAAAGAATATTTGTTAATATACCAAACACCAAGTTAGCAGAAGAAAACAAAGGCACAAGAAGAAAGTAAACTGACCTGTTTCTCCTGGGACCCATGTGGGTATGAAGCTCTAGACTCAGCCACTCGATCTTGAAACTCAATGGTACAGTCAATATCCTCCACTACCAATATAGACCTATTAGCCATGGCAACCAACAACCTCCTAAGCTCCGAGTTGTGACTCAACTCAGTGAGTTCCAAGTCATAGATATCGAAGTTCAAGTGATTGGCCATTGCAGCAATCAAGCTTGACTTCCCTGTCCCTGGTGGGCCATACAACAAATACCCTCTCTTCCAAGCCTTGCCAACTTTTCTATAATACTCCTTCCTCTTTATGAACCTCTCAAGGTCCTGAAGAATGAAGCTTTTGATCTCCGAGTCCAAAGCCAGGGTTTCGAACGTTGCCGGGTGATCGAGGTTTGTGGGGATCCATGCTTCTGCTATGTTGCAGTACATGTTCTGATAGTCAACCGTGAAGATTTTCAGGGTCTTCTTTTCTTGCTTCATGGACTTTGATTGTTTAACAATGTGAGGGAGGTAAGAGTTTAGCACGAAGTCTCTTTGTTTCTTGTGGAAGCTGAGCTCAAAGGATCTCACTTCTGATCTCAGTGTGGAGTTTAGGTCACGAGGGTTGTGGAAGTTCGACTCAACCTGCCTGTACACAAGGTATATGCAAGTGTAAATTCAGAGTCTGACAAAATAAGTATCTTACGTTATGAGATAAATATAACAATGCTCGAAAAAGTTGAAAGGCTAATTTATCGAAAAACTGAAAAACATGCCTGGAAACCAAGAACCAATTGAACTTAACCCCATTAAAGACATCCACAATCTCCTGATTGCTTTCCATGGTGATGGTGAAGTTATTTTCCTTCTCGGGTTTGCTGACTTTGATTCTGTGTGTTGATGGGGAGACTTTGCTGCCCAAGTAGATTTCTGCAGCCTCATATATTTGGTTGTTGACAAGGCCATCGAACTCTTCAATGACCATGGTGAGTTGGGAGGAGAAGCGAGAGAAGAAGCTGCTGATGCCAGAGAACAAGTAGTGTTGGATCTCATGGGGGAGGAAATCTTGGGCTATTTTCCTTACCAACATTGCTGTGGCAGCCACAGAGGCTGCTGTTGAAAGAACTGTCTTGGCTGTGGCCAGTTTGGTTTCAGCAGAAGATGATGAGGCCATTTTGGAGTATTGATCAACTAGGACTTAACAAGTATATGGTTCTCTACTCTCCATTTATAGACCAAATGTTCATGTTTATAAAAAAAATTTAAAAAAATGTGAATTTCATCTGATAGGTACCTAGAGACTTCAACTCAAAAATCTGAAGAGAACCATCGCTGCTTCTTCCTTAGCCCCAACTGAGTTTGACTTGGATTTTTTTGGGTCTAATGATCAGCTAACTTAATCCACGTCTATTGATTTTTATTATTTATATCCGTAAACTTAGACATTCTTGTATTTTATATTATCAAATTGCTAATCATAGTCTTCCATTCAAATATGCATAATTTCGTATGGTATGATCATCCGTAGGGCCTTATTTGAAGAAAAAGAATTGTCGTATGAAAAGGGGTGTTTGGTGGGACAATTGGTCAAAGTCTACAACATTGTCTTCGTGCGAAATGGGTTAAAAGTTTACTTGCTTGACTCAAGACGACTTTTCTTTCAAATTAAAATTTTGCCCCTATATTCTACAGTTTGCTTTGGGCTCATTAAAAGTGTTGAAGGACAATGTAGCTACTCATGTGGGTTTCAAAATGAAATAAGACCCAATATTCATGTACCAAATTCAGCTTTGTACCAATATTCTTGGCATCATTTAATTCTGTAAGAAATATTATGTCTTTATGGGGATTTCAACCTCTAATCAACCGTAACTACTACACTAACTTTCTTTGTCACATTAGGAATTTTGAAGGCTTCCGATCAATTGTGATAATAGTCAATTGGTCATGTGACAGTTTTTTCTTTGTCGGAAAATACAATGAATTCAACCATCATAAACGATAAGTTGTTGGAACACCCGGTAACTCGGTGGAGTGAATTGATGTCATTGGTTCGAACCCGTGTATGTAATTTCCCCTCCTTTGTCCTTCCTTTGTGTGTAATTGCTTGTACTTTAAAAAAAAAAAAAATTGTCCGAACATGTTCTTTAGGATTTTGAAGAAGGGTGCAATACTAAGAAGGCGTTTGGTATTCAACTTGAATCAAACTTTTTAAATTCAAAAACAGAATTTGAGTCCAAAACTAAAAATAATATATTTGGTACGCCTATTTTTAAAAACTCCAAATCTCCCCCAAAAAAAAAACAAAACAAAAAAACAAAAAACAAAACTCAAAAACACTATAAAATTTGAAGAAAAAAAAAACATGTTTTTCCCCCCCCCCCCCCCCCCCCCCCCCCCCCCCCTAAAATCTGAAACCAATGCCAGGCTCAAAACCAAAAGTACTGGAAGAGTTTGTGGCTGTATTGTTAAAAATAATTTTGAAGGTTAATATCAAACAAATTTTCATATCTTAAAAAATTAGTATTTGAAAACTCATGATTTTAAAAAGAATCATTTTTTTTAGTTCACTTTTTTTAGTAGAATACCAAACAAGCCCTAAACTTCTTGAAGAGATTGTGGTTGTCAGACCCATTTTTTTAGTAGGATATCAAACAAGCCCTAACAGTTTTGAGTCCAAACTTTAAAAAAACCTATTTGTCAGGCCCATTTTTGAAAATTCAAACCTAAAAACAACTCATAAAAACCAAAAAATTTGAAAACATAACAAGTTTGTTTTCAGAATTTTTTTTTTTGCTCAATCCATCTCTCTCCATCTCTTTCTTCGTCCCTCTTCCCCTTCTTGATCTCGTCGATGCCGATGTTGGCATGCTGCATGATGTAACACAAGCACTCGGCCTCGATGTCCCTTATCCCCTTCACCAACTCATAGCACTCTTTCATCAGAGTCTCCGCCTTCTCTGTCGTGTAGCTCATGCACACATTGCCACCTTTTGATTTTGATGTATGACCCATTAAAGTTGATGTAACAAAAAACCAAAACAAAGATACAATTTTTTTTATTTATAAGAAAAGTAGAAACAGTTTACAAGAATTTAAAAATGGAAAATAAAATTGTTTTCAAGAATTCAAACCCAAAAAAGTTTGAAAATATCCGAGTTTGGTCTTCTTCTTTTGTTGGGAGGGGGGGCGCTCCCTGCAAGTATACGCATGGTAACTAAAGCATTGACCTCCTACTTGCCTGGAACAACTTAATTGGTATTTTGAGCATCATGGCCAGGCGGCCACACCACTCCAATCTGTCTGTCTTCTTTTGTTTTTAGGTTTCCATCAACATATATGCATAGTATATAATCGTGATGACGATGATCTCATTCCTTTCCAATCATCAAGGTCTAGCTAGTTTCATTTTGGCCACATTATATAGCTGAGAATCCTTAAACCATTAATGGAGGTGGGCTTTCTTTCTTGTACCTATTCATTTCCAATATGCCAATCTGTTGTATATCCCACCATTACTGCGACCTCTGCCACCTCTTTGCCCTACCAAGTCCTCATCAATCAACTATTTCTTTTTTCCTTTACATCTTAATTTTGCCTTTGGTCCATTATATTTTGATGCTTATGAATCTTAATGTTGTAAGATCTCAATCATTGTTGGGTCACTATATGTATTCAATGTATAATGGAGCAACATGTACCATTAAATCATGAGCATGCACAAGACTGTCCTTCTTGGAATTTTTAGTCTGCATCGGAATTATGTAAGGAATTGAAAGGTCATACAGCTCAATCCACTATGTTTTTGTTACTATTCACATGCACAACAACTCTCAGGATTTAACTTGCCTTTTTACCAAGTAATTCATGTGAATCTGACCAAAATATGTGCAAGTCAATTCTCCTTTAGGAAGATGCTCCACACAAAAATATCAGAAAATTAAAATCATTACTCTGTCTCATTCGAAACATTACAGGTGTATTTATGTAGAATGCAAGCAATATTGGAACCAAGACTTACACAACCTAGGAGGCTAAAGACCCCTTAATATTTTCTTCATATCAGTAGAGACTGGTTCAAGAAAGCTAAGAGATGTTGAATCTATCCGAGGAGGGGCTCCTCTTCCTTGTGAGGAACTACTATGATGTTTTCATTGTTGTAGTGTTTTCTATTGGGGTAACATTTTTGGTCTCCAAAATAGCTTGGAGAAGTTTGGACATGACCACTACAAGTTACAGAGGTGGCGGCATCCCGGGCCGGTTGGGGTTGCCCTTTGTTGGTGAAACCCTTTCTCTTCTTTCTGCAACTAGCAGTATAAAAGGATGCTATGAATTTGTCCGGCTCCGACGAACATGGTTAGTTTTTCTGTTATTCCATTGCTATCTTAAAAGGTAAAACTTGGAATTATAGTATTTTCCAAGTATAGTTAGAATACATGATCAACTTGTGTCCTTCATCAACCATGACGCTAAATTCGATTTTGCGTCTTTGGTATTGAGCCTGCAACAAGTGCTTTTCATCCTAAAAACCATATTAGACATTCATGCAAAGGGAACTTGCCTAAGGTGATCCTTGGGATGCAAGTGCACCAGAAAAACGATGTGGTCTTAACTGTTAATCTCACTTTCAAGACAAACTTTACTGTATTGATCTGTGGTCCACTGGTCCTATAATCATTTTTCGATCGAAATACTGACCATACGAGTTAGGAATTAGTGAGATGCATGACTTCTTTCATTCCCAAAAAAAAAAGTCATTTTTTGTTTATATATTGTATGTTGTATTTATTAGCTTCATATTGATAGCACGTTGAATTGATGATTGTGGTGAAACTAGGCACGGGAAGTGGTTCAAAACAAGGATTTTTGGACAGATCCATGTGTTTGTTCCCAGCACAGAGGGCGCAAGAGCCATTTTTTCTGATGACTTTGCGAAATTCAACAAAGGGTATGTGAAATCAATGGCAGACTGTGTTGGAGAGAAGAGCTTGCTGTGTGTGCCCCATGAGGACCATAAGAGGATTAGGCGCCTTCTTTCAGAACCCTTCTCCATGAACTCTTTATCAACATTTGTTCAGAAGTTTGATAAAATGTTGTGCCGAGAGCTGAAGAAATTAGAAGGCGGCGGGAAAAGCTTTGCGGTGCTTGACTTCAGCATGAAGGTAACAGCACAACAAAACCGTCACTGTTTTTTCTTTTATAATAATACTGCATCCATTTTTGGATTTTTGGAATAATTGTAGCTGATCTCTCTGAATATATCTGATGTGCAGATTACATTTGACGCCATGTGCAACATGCTATTGAGTGTCACGGATGACTCGTTGCTCCGAAAGATCGACAAAGACTGCACTGCGGTCTCGGATGCAATGTTAACCTTTCCTTACATGATCCCAGGCACCAGATATTACAAAGGCATCAAGGTAACTCGGGCATCCCCGCGTGCACGATGAGACTGCATGAAGGATGGCATTAACTGATTTACATTGTTGGCCTATTTCCTAACGATTTATAACTTCTTGAGGATCTGATTAAAGAAAAAAAATTGTTTTTATCTTAAATAGTATACTAACAGCAGTGTTGAAACAGGCACGTCGACGTCTAATGGAAACCTTCAAAGACATTATTGGGAGAAGAAGAAGTGGAAAGGAGTCTGCAGGAGACTTCCTACAGTCTATGTTAGAAAGAGATTCATACCCTCCCAATGAAAAGCTCCAAGACTCAGAGATTATGGACAACCTATTGACATTGATAATTGCAGGGCAGACCACCACTTCCGCTGCAGTGATGTGGAGTGTTAAGTTTCTTGATGAGAACAGAGAAGCACAGGAAAGACTGAGGGCAAGTAATTCTAAAGTGCATCTGCATATTGCATAACTCTCAGTAGCAATTTCAGTGTTGTTTTTTTGAGATAAATATATTTATGTGGAAAAAAATTGAGATTAATATTTTGAGATCAATACAGGAGGAACAGTTGTCAATAGCCAGAGCTAGGCCAGATGGAGCTTCAGCTACCCTAGAAGATTTTAAAAACATGCCCTACTGTTTGAAGGTTATCTCCACATCCTAGATTAACAGGAAAGAAAAGAAAAAAAAAAAGAAAAAAGAAAAAAAGGAGGTCTTTGGTGCTACACTATTTCCATTTCAATTTGGATCATGTATAGAATCTTTTTCACATGTTTTGGACTGACAGTGGTGACATCTTTGGGTATGGATGGTGGTGTTTTTTCCAGGTTGTCAAAGAGACATTGAGGATCTCAAATGTCCTTCTGTGGTTTCCTCGTGTTGCACTCTCTGACTGCACTATTGAAGGCAACTACATTGAGCAGAAAAACCTTTTAAAAGCCAAAAATTATTCTATATGCCTCTTTAAACCTTCTCTCTCTCCCTCTTGTTGCACTATGCACATGAGCTCCACTGTTATATAATGGATCCACAAGCATATTGCGCGAGAGAAGTTATATATAACTGACGCATACAAAAATTTGTTATGTTGGAAGCCATGAATTTAGTGGAAATGCTTCCCTTGTCATGTATTCTTTGTCGATCTTTCTCTTAATACAAGAACTTGTTTAATTGATATGTTTGATTGCAGGCTTTGAAATAAAGAAAGGTTGGCATGTGAACATTGACGCGACTTGCATACACAACGACCCAGATTTATATGCAGAGCCAATGCAATTCAACCCATCTAGATTTGACGTAAGGTTGGCATGTGAACATTGACGCGACTTGCATACACAACGACCCAGATTTATATGCAGAGCCAATGCAATTCAACCCATCTAGATTTGACGTAACCACCTCTCTCTCTCTCTCTCTCTCTCTCTCTCTCTCTCTCTCTCTCTCCACCCAACACTTCATTTTCCATTAATGTCTTGGTATTGATATCACCGTATTGATTTTATATGTCCTTTGTGTGATTTATTCTCCAGGAAATGCAAAAGCCATATAGCTTTATACCATTTGGGTCAGGACCCAGGACATGCTTAGGAATGAACATGGCCAAGCTGACAATGCTGGTCTTTTTACACCGTCTCACTAGTAGATACAGGTGAGTTGGAATTAGAGGATAAAAAAGGCATCCGCAAATACTACGACCAGTCGCCCACGCATGTGTAGGTGTTTTTAGTCGTTTTTCAACAGTAAAATCACCTGCGCACTCGTAGGCGACTAACGTTAACAAAAGTCAATGTATTGATGAACCTTACACTCTTCCATTACTGTGTAGGTGGACAGTTGATGATCTGGATACTAGCCTAGCGAAGAATGCACACATTCCGAGATTAAGAAGTGGGTGTCCCATTACCTTGAGGGCCTTATAAAGCACTGTGCCTATGAATTATTGTGGGTAGAACTTGTATGCCTCAAAAGTTATGGTTGTACGTGTGTAAGCATATGATGCATGCAAGTGTAGGGTTATGATATTTTGTAGAACAATATACCACTTCTTTGCCAAAATATAATTATTATTGATCAGATCGTACAATTTTACAAGTGGTACTAGATTCTTGAGACAACAATATCAACATCAACTTGTACATTTTGGTGATGCAACCAAACAAATACAATAGCACGTGATGCATTTGGGCTTACGAGAACAGGCGGATCATACTTCAGTTTATGGATATTGATTTGTATTGTTGAACCGTGGAGGTTATAGCTTGTTCAACAGGTAGCCTTTCCACGCTTGATGCCCCATAAAACCCATGAACTCCCTTGGTATTCTTAAGTATAAATTCTGCCTCTCTTGGACCAGAGATCGGTCCTGCAAATTGCCCCAAATCAATAATCTTTATGTTGGTAGCTAAAAATGAAAATGGCTTCATATAAGATCAAATATACTTTCCCATGCAAATCCACCACACGAAGCAACCCCGCAAATAAAAAATTTATAAGAAAAAACAAAGTTTCCAAGATCATACCACCATGGCAAAGCACAATGACATTTGGATTGATCCTATGTGCAGCATCTGCAATATTTTGTACACGAACTACACTTTCCTCTATTGAAACAGCCGTCTTTGCCCCTATAGAGCCGGATGTAGTGAGTCCCATATGGGCCACAATGATATCAGCCCCACCTGATGCCATTTGCACAGCTTCATCTTGATTGAAAGCATATGGGGTTGTCAAGAGCCCCATCTTATGTGCTTTTTCAATCATCTCAACCTCCAATCTGATCAGTACATTAAGAAAAAAGTTATAACTACAGAATGCATAAATAATATTCCTGAATGTTTAAGTTTTAAAAAATATATATGTTTAATACCTACCGGTATCCCATTCCAGTTTCTTCAAGATTTTGTCTAAAATTACCGTCAAAGAGACCAACCGTTGGAAAATTTTGGACCCCACAGAATCCAATTGACTCCAACTGCCTCAGGAAGAAATCCATTCGGCGAAAAGGATCAGTGCCACATACTCCAGCAAGAACAGGCACCTTCTTCACCACCTACATTATCATCAGCCCCACATCAGCGAGAGATGATTTTAAAAGGGACATCAGAGCTGGTAAGGTATTGCATTACGAATTTGACTTGTCGGTCTTTAAATTTTACAGTTTAGTTTCACTTCCTAACCAAGAATTTGAATACTTGAATTTTTATTTTAGTTAATTTAGCAGGAGAAATCAATTAGACCACAGAGAAATTTGGATTATATGAAGACAATTTTTCAGAAAAAAAATTTCAAACCAACAAACAGTGAATGACTGAAGAAGCACTCTTTTAAAGTTTTAGAATACGAAGCCGTTGAAACTTACTGGCAAGACTTCATTGGCCATGTCTAGTACAACGGCATTTGCATCAGCAAAAGGCAATAAGCCTGCCAATGAACCTCTTCCTGCCATGCGAAAGCGACCTGAATTGTACACCACTATAAGATCAACACCACCAGCTTCCTCAAACTTTGCAGATATGCCTGTCCCTGCACCTGCCCCTATAATTGGAATTCCTCTATTTATTTGATCTTTGAGTTGCTGCAATACAGCCCAAGTTCGCTGCAACGTTTCTGCAACATAAGTAATAAGTTACTCATTAGATCTTACTCCAATAATGACATAAAACAAAATCTGGAGTTCTATTTATTGAGCTAAGTTGCTCTATATTTTACGATAAAATGCTGACATTTATGACCCAAAGCATGAAAAAATGAAGATCAAGCCAGATACTATACATTCCATGCCGCAAGTGGCTAACATCCACGTGTTATAATACAACACATGCATCTGTTGGATATCAAATGCTTCTGATTTAATTAAAGCTCCTGATGATTGATAATGCCACAAAGAAAATGATATGGTATAAACTCCAACCTGGTCTTGCATCTGGAAAGTCAATCAGGTTCCGCAGAATGGCCCCAGAGCTTGATAAATTCATCTTTGAAACAGAACTTTCATGAGTTTGTTGATTAGATTCAGGAATAGAAACTTGGGAAGGAGGAGACCGGATAGAGCTCTTCGTACTAATCTCTAAAAATGAGTCAACCAATGCATTTGCAAACTCATGGTCATTTATATGATGAGGGTACACCTTTACCTATTAAAAATGCACCATTTCAATAGTAAAGTTGGTCCTGCACATGAAACCCAAGCAACTAGAGAAGGTTTAAGCATTGAAACAAACCACTTGATGGACAACAATAGTACCTGCCGATCTTCATTTGTCTGGATCAGCCTCTGCATTTCGTTAATCAGAGAAGCAGTGGCCTCCGGATCATAGAAAGGCTTCCCTGGTGCATCCAAAGCAGAGATACCCTTTTGTGGCAGGCAAACAACAACTTTTGATGATGATTTGTTCAATTTATCTGCTATAAAGCTAGCAAATTTCTTGTTCTCATCTACTGTGGTTCTCATGACTGAAACCTGAAAAATGACAAGTATTGTTTCCATGTCATACACACAAAACACCCTTATGCTAACTTGTCTGTCAACAGATCATATATGAAATTGACATGTTTCACACCCATTGTGCTTTTAAGATGTCTATATATGATCTGAACACTTCCAGACAGGTCCTTAATCTTCTAGGGTTATATCATGTTAAGAGACTTATCAGTGATCACCTGCTTATTATGTTCATGAATCTTTCTGTGTTGAAAATTGGATGGTATGGTGTCCTTAGCTCCAAAGTTCACCATATCCAATGCTCCGACACTTAGAACTAAAGGAATCCTTTTCTCTATGATGGCATCAAAGCGGGAAGTATCGCAAGCCATCACCCCTCCAACCACATAATCTGCAACCTCTGTTGTTGTGATATCCAAAACACCCTATGTAAAACCATAAGAAAAGGAGTGAACATGAAGAATAGAAAGAAACAAAAGAAAACAAATGAAAGCCCCACGATAAGATTAACACAATACTAAAGGTCAAACAAACAGTGAAAGACAGAGCAATGCATGTAATGTAAAGGTCTCTAATAAGTAAACTTTATCAAGAAAGAATATAAACTCTGCACTTAAACTGATATCCATCCTTAGCCTAAGCTTGGCAATGAGCACATCTATTCAAGAATTTACATACAAAAATGAGAAATAGGTCATATCTCAAACTTCAACAATCAAACTATCAACCAGTGCCCTGTTCCCCTACTCTGCAAACGGTTCTCAAAAAAAAAAACTTGACCAAGTTCACATTTTTATATGTTCATCCCTAAAGTTCTACTCAAACAACTTCTAACACTGAACTTGTACATTTCAATAAACACAAATGAATAAATTTCCGATAAAAAAGACATTACCTTTATAAACCCATCACTAACCAGAGACTCCATGGCCCTGCCTCCAACCCCAGTGGAATGAAAAACCAGTGTCTCATACCCCTCCTTAACCAATCTCTCTTTAACAGCATTCACGCACTGAGTCGTAACCCCAAACATGGTAAGCCCCACCGTCGATTTCTCTGCCCCACCGCACGAATCTCCACCTCTCTCAGCTCTCCCAATCACCATCCCACAAAACGCAGCAGCAGCATTGTTCAACACAACGCGGCTCACGCTATTAATCCCACATACATCGACTATCGACGGGTACAGCACCAGGTCGGATTCTCCCACATAGTGATCGGTTCGACCGCTCGCTACGGTCGATACGATGAGCTTAGGCATTCCGATTGGGAGAGATCTTAGGGCAGGAGATATGAGAGCGGTGCCTCCACTGCCTCCGAGCCCTATTGCACCGGCCAAAACGCCGTCGTTTTGAGATTTCGCTAAAAATTTCTCGAGCGCTTTGCTCATTACAGCAATAGCTTCGCCTCTGTCCTCCGGAAGTTCACGAAGCTGGCCCGATGCTTCAGAATAGTGAAACAAAACCTCCTTTCTCGAAACGAAAGCGAAATCGGTTGTTTTGTTATCGGTCTCGCTCTGACTGGCCGAAACGTCGACCACCGAGACTTGGACCTGTATCGGACATTGAATTTCCGTATCGGAGTTATTCAAAACTACGTGAGCAAGATAGTATTAGAGACACAGAGAGATGGATTTACCTTGAGCGAGGAAGTATTGGAGAACGCGTTGAGATGGGATCGGACTGACTCGGCGAGGAATCGGAGCTCATCGAGCTTTGTATCGGCGGTTCCAATACAGAAGACTCGGAGAGGTTTATCATCGGACGCCATACTGAGTTTCTCCCAGTTAAGGAATTGAGTCAAGGACGAGCGAGTGCTGAGAAGTGTGACGTGGACTGTGGAGAAGAAATTGAGGAGGTAAGAGTGAGAGAGTGAGATGAGAGCTCGGTGACGGCTTCTGGAAGTAAAGAGTGAGGCAAAACGTCGTGCATTCCATTTCCGGGTGGTTGGGTGGTGAAATCTGTAATTTCAAGCAAAGTCTGGATTTGGAGCCGCGTCACCCACCCTTTTTTTTCTTTTCTTTTTTTGGGAAGCACCCTTGTTTTTTCTTTTGAAAGCCATAACCACAATTTTTTGTTCTTTTTCCAATGTTGCAAAGATTTTTGTATTATGGGTGGCATTGGTTGGCTGAAGGGGGAAGAGAACAAAAATCTTTTGAAAATGTTGCAACACAAATGAGAAGAAAAATGGTATCACCGAAAAATAGGATGATTGATAGATATTATCTTTTCCCAGGTAGGCATCACATACTTCTTATGTGGCGACTTGTTGATTTGGTTACCTTTTGATGCGTTTTTTTATTTTTAGGTAAATTACTCAAATGGTCTTCAAATTTATACTCAATTTATATTTTGGTCCTTCAATTAAATTATTCGTTCAAATAGTCCATCAACTCTATATTATTCACTCCATTGGTCCTACCGTTACATTATGTCAATATTTCCTTTAAATATGAGGGCAAATTGATCATTATTTACCTTAAAATTAGGTTAAATATAACAGAAAATTAGACGGTATGACCACTGCAACGAATGATATATGGTTGATGGACCATTTAAACGAATAATTTAGTTGATTGACCAAAATGTAAATTAAGTATAAGTTTGAGAACCATTTGAGTAATTTACCCTTTATTTTTCAAAATTTTATTTTTGCTGAATGGTAAAAGATAGAGCAAGTATGGTATAATTTGTGGAGGAATGCTTACATCAAGATTTCCAATTGTCTGACGCATATGCATCAATGATTTGAAATTTTTCATGCGTCTCACGTATGATCGACTATAGAAACATTCTAGTTTGTGTTCTAAAATCTGAAAAATTATTGTATGTAACTAAAATATTATCAAATGGTATAATCAGTCGTGTTATAATATAAAGTAAATGATAGTATCAATAAACATTCATGATCATATTATAACAAGTAAACTAATTATATTCCAGTACTACATAATAATTAAAAGCCAAATTTACATTAACCAGATCGGACGACCACCATCATACGAAAATCATTGACCTAAACAAAATAATCATGGATTGACTGTTTGACTTTATCACATGATAGAGCAAGAGGGGTTGGGCTCATCACATGCCCTTACAACAACATAGTCATGGGGCATGCAAATATGTTGGGGCGTCGGGTCTGGTTTCTTTTCTCCCTTCTTCTGTTCAGGCTTTTTCTCTGGAGGTTTAGTTGGAGGAGGAGGAGGCCCAATACTCACTACTTCAACAAATTTGCCAACTTTTCTAGTGCGAACTATTATTTCATATGGATCACAGTCGCCTGTTACAGTCAAAGTTCCCTTGGCTGCATCAGCTTCAACTTTATCCACACCTACAATTCATTGACGAAATAACTTAGAAATAACAACAATAAAACCACTTATAAACAACAACTACAAGACCAAATTAGCTAGATTTATGATCCTAATTAATAGCTCACACGAGGTTTAATCTTCGCTCGAGTTTTGCTGTTGTAAATAGTTCACAGGTGCGCCTACGTGGTAGGTTTTCGAGCATTAATTTATATGTAGTTCATGAGGTTTATATCAATTAACAATTAATATTCATTTATGCAATCGTAAACAACTGACGCTGGCATTTATCGTATACATAAACGACTAACGTTAACATATATCATATATTCCCTACATCATGGCTATGGATTCTTGTTCCATAGGTAGAGAAAGTGATGGTAAAAGAAATCTATACCTATGGGAAAACAAGATTCAAAAGGGACATGATCATGTTACCTTTCAGGCCACTCACTGCCTTGATCAGCTTCTTCTTGCATTTTAGGCATGATATGTCAACCTTCAGGACAGTCCTTTGTACCATTGAAGAGCTACAAATATATACTCTCTCTGTTTTTCAATATCTCCTAAACTAGCTAGGTGGTTGGATTCTTGGCATACATAGTGTTATTTAAAGAAGATCATCTCAGCTAGGAAGAGAACTAAATGTGTAATATGGAGCTTTGGGTTGCTCACCTTTTTCTAGCTAGGCTCATTTCTTAAGCTGTCCCTTGTCCAACATGTCCTTTATATATATATAT